GTGTGTGTGTGTGTGTGTGTGTGTGTGTGTGTGTGTGTGTGTGTGTGTGTGTGTGTGTGTGTGTGTAGAGGAGCAACCTAAACAGTACACTGACTCAGAACCAGCTTTAAGATTGGGCAGATTTTTGCTTTTAAAACTCAAGGGAAAATCAGAAGGTAACAGTAAAGTCCACCATAGGAAACCTAGTGAAGGTCAGCCTTTGATTCATGTTAACATGTTTACGTTAAAATAAAGTCTGCAGTAACTTTCTTGTCAAATGTACGGCAATTCATTAAAAATAACCTTATGTAATAATTCTTGAGATGTAGGTGCCTAAGCAGGAGATTTGTGTCTGTGAGTTTGTGCGTACTTGGTTTTTATTGCCTCTTTTAGGACCTTCCCTCGTATAATCTCCTACCTTGTCAAAAACAGTCTGATGAGCACATGAAGATGAGGCTAARGTGTGAATGGAGTTTAGAACAGATGTGTACGTTGGAACATTAGTTAAAGCCCTCAGAAGCTTACAGAACAAAAGGATGCATGTCGGGTTAACTGATATATCTAAGCTGTTCCCACCGTGTGGACAAAGCTAAGGACAAAGCTTGTAGGAAACAAGAAGATAAACTTTTCAGTCACGGTCAGGGAAGAAAAATAATGTTGCGCACTTTAAACATTATGGTAGTATGGAAAACCGCACCTTTAATGACTCAAAATCATACATGTCAAGTTGTACGGATTGTCCGTAATTTACACATTTTGCAGGTATATGGACGTAAAGAGTGATCTTACAGATTTTTTAAAAGTTTTACAGACCTCAGTTTCAAATTTACTTTAAAAAACATCAAATAATCTTTCAACCTGCAACCTGGGCTGGAATTGGCCTGTGGACCAGCAGTTGATGATCATTAGCGTAGAAGTACATACAGACTGAAACTTTCCCATAATGATCAAATGAAAGCCTTGTCAACCACTTGTTTGGTTCGACAAAAAACATTTTTCATCTAGTTATCGTGTTTTAACCATTTTCCAAACACTGTTCTACATTCATTCATTCATTCATTCATTCATTCATTCATTCATTCATTCATTCATTCATCCATTCAAACAAACAAACAAACAAACAAACGAACGAACGAACAAACAAACAAACAAACAAACAAAGAAACAAACAAAATAAAATCTATTTACATTTTAAAAAACACAATTCATAAATGAAATGAAGCAGAAAAAAAGAACAAAAATCTGTCCAATATAAATCTGATAAAGTTGGCTTCATAATAACATTTATTTCAGATCAGCTCTAAATCCACTGGTGTATCTGCATTTTACTGATAGCTGTGTGGATTCCAGTAAACCCAAAGGACAACATTTTTTCTGCTGCAACTCAAACAAAAAGTGAATTCTCCCTCAGTAAAAAAAAGAAGACTTTTGGTTTGTTTTGTCTGTCTGCCTGACAACACTGAGCTCACCGACAGATTTGCGAATCAGAGAGGAGTGAACGTGTCTAAATGTGCTGCTGATGAAGTGAGTCACTGTCTGACACATGTAATGTCTCAGCTGAATGGGCCGGCACACGCTGCTCTGTCTGTCTGAGCATGTAAATTAGATAACGAAATGACACAAAGTCAGTTAGCGGGCCCGCTGCGCAAAAAACGACAGCTGATTAAATTGGCCATTGTGTCTGAGGAAGAGGAGGAGGATGAGGAGCAGCTGTCATCCTGACGCTGGTCAGCAGCCTCAGCATCAGACMGTGTGTTCATTTTATGTCCATTATTCCCACACAAACAGGAAATGCTTGAATTAAATACATTTTTAATTTAATCTAATTAAAACCAACTATTTGCAAAGAAGATTCAGCCCAAGTGGCCATGTTATCAATTATGTGCATTGTTTACAAATAAATTTAGTTTATTACAAATTTTTGCTCAGTTTGTGTTTAATTTGGCCTAAACCTAAAACGTCATGCTCCAAGTCTCAATGCTATGTTTGAGCATCGCTAACAAACAATAACTGAGCTCTACGTGGTATTTCCTGCATGGAAACAGTGTTTTAACACGTCCTCCTATAAACACTGAAAAGTACTACGTGTACGACTGACTAAATGTGAAATA